TTATACCTAGATGTAATAGAATGTCATTTGTTATACCTAGAAGTAATAGTATATCATTTGTTATCCCTAGATGTAATAGTATATGATTTGTTTTGCATACATATAAAAGTATATCATTTCTGTAACTTAGGGTTATATATCTGAAAGCACTCTGTATTTTGCCATTTTTCTTTTGTGTTTTGGTGATTGCAAAACCAAAATGTCAGGATTATTTTATTACCAAAGAAAACTTGTGAATGAACCGAGAACGTTTTTTTTATCAAAATCTACATGTAATCTTGTAAATGAAACAGCTTGATCTTTAAACACTGTAGGTGGTGGACAAATATTTAATTATAAAAAATACTTTAAAATAGAATTGTAAATATTTATGTATATTTATATTTCATTTAAAGCAACTAAGCATGTTGAATAAAAAAAAAAGATAGAATTATACGGAATTAGAGGACTTTACAAATATTGAATTCAATTGTAAAAAAGGTGCAACGATGCTTTCTGCACTAAATCAAAGCTATTCAAAATCATTACTGAAAAAAGGTATTTTTAACAAAAAACGTCAATTCAGCATGTACACATTTGGTCAAAGGTCGTTTGTCTGATTTTCGTCAATTATATACCGTTACAATATACAGGTCGTGTTCTGATTATTTCTCCAGTATAAAAAAGTTTAATCATTCCATAAATGATTACTGCCATGATAATAACAAAAGATTAAAGAAAACTGCTTTGGCTGATCCCCAAATGAAGATACTATTTTAGTTGGAAAAAGTCACACAGATTATGCGGCCAATCATTTATTTACCTGTGTGTTTTCTGTACAGTAGAACACTTGAAATCAAACCGTCCTGTATTTACACATAGAATCTAATGGCCCTTGTTAGGTCTAACCATGTAAGACAGACTTTGTAGTGTATAGAACATTAATACTTTACTTGTCATATTCATTTTCTGATAAATGTAATGTAGTAGTTACACTTCAATTGTAAAGCAAATACACTTTCACACTGGTTTCGCAGTCATGAAAAATGTAAAACGTTTGCTCCACTGTACTGTTTACTGAAAGATATCTATTATTCATCAAAGAACCAGAAATAGACTTGATGTACAAGGGCTTAAACAGTTCTTGGAACCCCCAAAAAATCGTTCTTTATGTTTATTGTAGAGATTGCAGACATTTTTTTTCAATTCTTGTCCACTTTTAGATCTTTTCGCTTAATGTTTTTACTACTTAAATTTATATGTTAAGGTTATAATAAAAATTTAGATATCTTTTTAATTTATATCATGTTTATTTGAAAGGATATATATATATCTTAACTTTGGCATCCAATCTTGTTTTTCTTCAGCAGAATTGGACACTGTTTCTGAGTTTTGAGAAAAGGTAAAAGAATACCGGACCGCTGTGTACAAATTCAGGACAAAAAAGAATAGCATAGGAGAATAGGAGATCCTTTTTGAGTTACGTTTCGGTTCGATTTCTAAATTCTAAAAATGTGGTCCAAAGCAATAAAAACTAATTATGTGCATCAGCAAACTGTCGCTTTGATTACTCCAATGAATATACATTGTATCTATCCCGTTTTCATTGTTGGAAATTGTTAAGATTTATGTGTACATAATTATATTGCATACGTACATTTTATTGTTTTGGACTCGTTGAATTGCGCATGTGCGATGTATATGATATAAATCTATTTATACACTTGAAGAATGTGGATGAATTAGGCATGTAGTATGAATGGTAAAAGTATATTATTTAGGTGTTCTATAGTTGATGATGCAGGACGTCCCCAGTTAACGTGATAGTGTCATATTTGATGAGTTTTCTGTTACGATATTATATGTAGGTATATGTGGTGACGGGTTTTTAGCGTATGTATATGTGGTGCTGTTATGCGTACTCCTTACTGTTAACCACTTGCATTCTGCAATATTTATATTTTTGCGTTCACTGTTTGCGGCTTGGAAAAAGTAGGATATCTCGCTGGTATTAGTTTAGGTGCATTTAAAGAAAAAGAGTTGTTGTTGATTTTATATATAGAAAAGTTACTTAAAGTGGCGTTATTCACATTATATCATAAACAACATGTCAGACTTTCATTTGACCTCAACACCTGGGAGCCAATTAATTTTTTCCTTGAACCGTGGAATCAAGTTATTTCAAAACTAGGGAGAAATGTAAAATTCTGGTCTGTCAAAAGCGGGTTCGAGAGTGTAATGAAAGCCCTGAAATGCGACTGTATTTGCTAATAGCTTTATAATTGGGTGTGTTTGGTATGTTTTTGTGGAACGCTAGTTTTCAAAGAGTTATGTCATCTTTGAATGGAAATATCGAAGATCTGATCGGTCTAGATAAGATTTGTAGCATCAGGTAATTTAAAGGTGAAAACCTTATCGTGTCCTTCTTTGTTTTGATTTAAATATGAGATAATTCAGTTATTTGCTTATAAAAAAAGTGGAATTGTTGTTGAAAGAATTTTATTTTGCTGTGTGTTTGTTCCGGTTTGCATCGAGTGGTACATACAAATTATAATCTAAGGTGGTATACTGTAAATGTTTATGTTTCAGGTGACATGAAAGACTATACAAAATCACATAATAAGTGTCATATATGTTGTCATACATTCTATGAAATTTCTTTCCCTTTACGAAGATTTCATTATTAATGGAACATGTGAACTCAAGATTACTTCATAACGTTCACATATGATATAAATATTCTTTATCTGTTCCGTCTTTGCGTATTGCAGAGTTATCTTCTCTTCGGAGCAGGTATTGATTGTTACGTCATTTGTTTGTAAGAGGAACGTCATCAATTTTTGAGAAAACGACGTAATTTTCTCACATAAACCAATGACGTAACAATCAATACCTGCTCCCAAGAGAAGATAACTCTGCAATACACAAAGACGAAATAGTAGGTATTAGACTATACGTTATTTTATTTCTACACTATATATATATTAACTTTCCCATAGTCTATGTATACATAATATATTATACGACGTATACTATAAAGATGTAAATATTACTTTTTCTTTATATGCTTAGTATATTCCAATGTGTTTTGCCGTTCATATGCTCTTTTTTTGTTTGTTCTGTAAACATTATTCCCATTTAAAAAATCCTTCGAAATAAATACACATTTTCGGGACATTTCGTATTACTTTATTTGTAGACCTGCTTGTCAGTCGAAATGGTAATAATAATATGTTAAATATATGATTTATAAATATAAAGGTTCTTGAAATTTTTTAAAGAAAAATAGATGGGGTAGAATTGTATAATCATGATGTGCACCTTAGTACTGTCGCATTACTAAAATAAAACTCATATAATGTTACGTGAACGTTAATTCTCCATAATATAATGTTACGTGAACGTTAATTCTTCATACATGTAATGTTACGTGAACGTTAATTCTCCATACATATAATGTTACGTGAACGTTAATTCTCCATACATATAATGTTACGTGAACGTTAATTCTCCATACATATAATGTTACGTGAACGTTAATTCTCCATACATATAATGTTACGTGAACGTTAATTCTCCATACATATAATGTTACGTGAACGTTAATTCTCCATACATATAATGTTACGTGAACGTTAATTCTCCATACATATAATGTTACGTGAACGTTAATTCTCCATACATATAATGTTACGTGAACGTTAATTCTCCATACATATAATGTTACGTGAACGTTAATTCTCCATACATATAATGTTACGTGAACGTTAATTCTCCATACATATTTACAATACCATTGACCACTGTCGGCAAGATAAAGGGGAAGAGGAAGAACATGTATCACGGGGAAGAACACTACCAAAGTCGCCAATATTATCTGGTTATTGGTGCAACTAATTAATTGTACTTCTCTACCCATACACTCGAATACAGAAGAAGAAAGAGTACAGAAATGTTTAACTTGTATCTAGTGCAATATGGGTAATATTTTCTTTAGCTGGCTTTTTATTATTAGCAACATCCTACCTATAACATTAAAAGTCTTTCACCTTTAGGAACATTTCACATAATTTCGGTGAACCCCTAGATCGTTACATCCAATCTATTTTGCATTTTGTAATCCCAGACAAAGAAGTTTAAATATTAGAGATATATTTATCTACTTGGGTAAGCATAAGCGATCGAAATAAACTTTCTTCACCCATTGCAACATTAAGGATAATTATGTTTTCTTCCTTTTAACTTTATTTTTGTCTGATTGCCTTACCTTGCAAAACTTCACTGTTGACATTGTTGTTGAGCATTCCCCTAAGCGAATCGGGTTATAATTTCTGGCCATTTTACCATGACAAACTACTGTTATAATACTGATACTCTGCTTGACGTGGCGGTAAGCGCTGGTATAGCTGTTGTCAGTATGATATAATCAAGTGAAGTTCCCTATTTAGGTATCCAAGTTATGGCATTTAACAAGGCAATCCATAGTCCCCAAATGGTAACTATTTTTGTCTCTAACAAACAGTACACTAATGTCAGGAAGCATAGGTCACATCAGGTCATATTGACCTTCTTCTTGCAGCCTGCCATCCAAAGATGTCCTTGTATATCAAATCTGGTTAATCCAGGAGACATAGTGTAAAAGATATGACCCGGACAAATATTTTAAGTTAAGGTAAAAGGTCAAGTCAGAGGTCATAGTGACCTTATTCTTACACTCCGCCATCCCTGGATGTCCTTGTACACCAAATCTGATTACACTCCAGGTGAAATAGTATAGAAGATATGTCCCGGACAAACATATTCAAAAGTTAAGGTCAAAGGTCAAAGCATAGGTCACAGTGAAGTCATAGTGAACTTCTTCTTGCACTCTGCCGTCCCCGGATGTCATTGTTCACCGTAGAACCGGTGGGGGACTAATTAAGATGATTGTGGTCACTTTCTTCATATGACATTTTCTGTAGAAGGTGAAATTACAAACAAGTAAAAAGTGATGCAAAACAATAAATACATAATACCGACAATGATATCAATTGTTTATATTTTATTGCAGCAATACATTCGTTGAAATTATAATAGGCTTACATTTTGCACTTCATTCAAAATCTTGTGAGAACTAAAACGGTTACTTTCATTTTCATTCGTCACGAATCGGGAATAAAAGTCCACAGTACAACGCTGCATCAGAAACCACAATTTGTGAAGGTCGTTACTTTTAGAGAAGAAAATTTATTTGAAGTTAAAACATTAAAAAAGTGTTTACAGGTTCCGGAAATTTGCAGATCATGATAACAGACATTTAATCTTTATTTAAACTCATAACTACAAGAAAATCAAATTGTTATCAGCTACCTAAAACCCGAAATTCGTATCAACTACCTAGACCCGAAATTCTTATCAACTACCTAAACCCGATATTCTTATCAACTACCTTGATCCGAAATTCTTATCTACCTAGACCTGAAAATCTTATCAACTATACCTAGACCCGAAATTCTTATCAACTACCTAGACCCGAAATTCTTATCAACTACCTAGACCCGAAATTCTTATCAACTACCTAGACCCGAAATTCTTATTTACTACCTAGATACGAAATTCTTATTTACTACCTAGACCCGAAATTCTTATCAACTACCTAGACCCGAAACACATGTTAAGACGACACTATATATATATATGTATATATAAATATAATTGTACATTTTAGTGGAAATATAATACTACTACACGACTGAACATAAAGGTAACGTATAGTTCAAATGTGCAACATTTGTTTTATCATAATGCTACATATATTTTTAATTTGATATCCATATTGAACAACACTCACACATTCTGTAACCTTTGTCTATTTGTACAAAACAAGTACTTTAAATATCATGTATACATAGTAATAACCAAAGCACATCAAGAAGCTTACAAACATTTTATACTAGATATGTTCATGAAAGTGCTTAATTAAACGTTACATCTTTCGATTAATAGATGACATCAGTATTGATAAACAGGGATAACTGTGACAGAAATCATAATACGTTTACTTATTGTACTTTAAGCTAAGTATAATTTTGTTGTGTTTGTTATTATTTCATATATATGATATTCGATGTAACCACCTTCTTACTAATGCATTGTTATACTTCATAGAGATCAGTTGTAAATGTTACTTGACTTAAAATTACAAATATCCGACCTGAAAATGTGAAAGGAACCCTGAACTAACATGAATAAATAGAAAATAATAAATGACTAAATTAAGAAACTAGCGATAATATAGTTAAAAATATTTTCGTGAAAGCGCTTGATTGAACGTTAGATATCATTGATTAAGTATCATAAATACAAGATGAATATAGTCCGTTTAGCAAGTGATGTTTTTGTAAACTCCCCTCATCTAATACAAGGTTGCCTAGGTCATCTCTCAGCAAAGTATTCCGACTATTTCTTATTCGGTGAATTTACCGGGGAACATTTCTGACCGTATTCCACCAACACTTTTTGCCGCATGTCTTTGAATGTGAAGTCAGAGTTGGGCAGGAACTCTTCAATGGTGCTGTTCTCGCTGACGTAGTCGAAGTACGGCCAGTGGGTTGTGTCCCCTGCGTCGTAGTTGTAACACTGAATGGGGGCGCAGAAATCGGTTGTATTATTCCATAGCTTGTGCGTTTGGAACCAGTTCCTGTTGATCCATGTAACATCACCTGGGTACGCATTAAAGGTTTTCATAGGAACTGCATCTGGCTCTGTCGTCTGCTTGTTGTAGATTGAAATGTTGATTTCGCCAAACAGGATTTTGATGACAGCGTTGGCGTTTCCATGGTTATGTATTGGACTGTAGTGTCCTGACGGCCAAATCTCGAGGACATACGGAATTCCCGGCGAATTTCCGAGACTATGTCCTAGCGTTACGCGTAGGTATGTCTCCTCTTTTCCACTTCCTTTACCGAATTCTCCAGCTTTCGACTTCAGCTTTTCATAAAGGAGACATCCCTCTGTCTCGATACTGAACCGTATGGCACCAGAGAGGAGAACATCATCAACTTCCGGTGGCCAGTTCAACTCACAGTTACGGATGTTCTCGTATAGCTCCTTACAGGCAGGCGGGAGGCTTCCTGATAAAGGGGGGAAAACAAAAAATAATATACCATTCAAATTACATACAAAATCAAAAGTTTCATATATCTAAGATTAGTTTTTAAGTTTGCTTTGCGTAACTGACTTTTTTCGATTAAAACAAATTCAACGCGCTTACATTCGGGTGGAAATGAGTGATTGATATTATTGCTTCATAATTGTTGTAAAATGAAAAGGTTATAATTTTGGGTGAAATTCTGTTATAGGATTCCACTCTGTAATCTTACTAGATCTTACCTGTCAACATGTACTTGCTATTGTCAAGTGTAAACAGGGTGACTTTGGAGCTGTCAAGGACGATTGGAGACATGTTGCAAACGAAAGGGTTCTTATAAAAAGCAACTTTCTTTTCGATGTCTATCACTGCAAAGATATTCAAAATGGTTTTTAGCGTCAATATAGAGTTAGTTGACTCTTTAATCATATCTCAATGTGGAAAGTTAGCAGTGGTTCAGAAGTCTATACATCCAAAATTCCAATAATCTATTTAATAATCTTAATATTTATTCATGTGTCGATATTTTGGCACTCATTTACTCTACGCGAACAACGCTAATACTTTCACAATTTTATCGTGCTTAAAGTAATTATTATGGAATATATTTTTAGACAATCATCAATATTTACGCTATAAAAGAAACAATTTTATATTTTCTTCACAACTCGGAACTTACACCTTGCAGAAACTGTAGAATGCACCAAATGAGTACTATCATATAGCTGCACTTGACCTTGGAACTCCGCGTTAAAAAGACAATGATATCGGTTTCTAAGTACCGCCTCTTCGGCTGGCGTTGCTCCTGCAAGAAAATTGTACTCAAGCAATGTTGTTTCCTCCATTGTGTAGCCTTTGCCGTATTTCAGAACGAGGCTATCTCTGTTGTAACTAAACCAATAGGAAATCTTCTTTCCTTCTTCGTACCCGCATTGAGGATGCTCAACTCTTTTAAGACTGCGATACTGATTGTTTTGTTGCCTTAAAAATTCTGCAGACTGTTCTCCGATGACAAGCACGACTGCATCTTTAGCTGACGATGTAGTCACGACGACCCGGAATGCGTTGTTCCTTGTTATGTTGAAAGTGAAAACTCCTTGTCCATTGACAGGCATGGGCTTGCTCCATGTTAGACCACCTCTTAAAGACCATTTCACACCGGGAAACCACTGGATAAAAGGTGTCTATAAAAACGAAAAATTGAAATATATATCAGTATACATAAGCCTAATTAAACAAGTAAAGCTATAGAAAGAAAAACACGTAACATTGCTTATTACACATTATCATTTATAAGAGCTACAAACCTCCTGAGTACGATATAGCAATCATAATTAGATAATTGGAAATTATTATATTTCAATGTTTCTATTTGCTTTCTAAAATTTTACTATTTCAACAAAGATACAAACTAAAACAAACATTACTTTTTATTGAAGGCCGTTGCATTTTTTTCAATGTTGAGACCACGAAAACAGTGTTTTCTACTCATTGTAAAGACTTTGATTGAACACAAACTATCTCAATTTTGCATTGGACGTTTAATATTTGTTTCATATGTAAAAACAGTAAAGGCTAAAAATCTAATTAGGAGAAAGTACGTTGTTTGGAGAGTTTATTTTTAAGTAAAGCATGACCACGACGTTTGATTGACCTTGAAACAGATATGTCATTCGAACATACTTTAACAAATGTATGTTTTTAGAAATTACAATAATTTTCCGCTACAATTTAGTATTAATCGGTCTCTAGTAAGGCCTCTCACTTAAATTCAATTCAGTAGTGATTCCTATTCCTATTTATATTATTTCTATTATAACTGGAAGTTATACAGAGAAAGAGGTTTGTGGACTCAATAAAATTTATAATATTAATAATGAACTAAATTGAAACAAAATAACGCAAAATTTATAATTTGTTGAAAAACAAAAATCACTTAAATAAATAAGATTTGAACGCAACCCCGCTGAAATAAAGGTTTCAAAACATGTTCACCCTCACTAACAATAGATGCATGGCAAGCGATTACACATGTTATTGATGAAGGTAAATACTTTCAGACATTTCACTCTAACTGTTAAAATTATTGTTGACATGAACTTATTAAACGAATTGTCCTCATGCCAACCCTTTTTTAAGATAGTTTGTGATTAATTTTTACTTTATAACAATATTCACCTCAAAATGTTTTCAATTTCAACATTTTTTATTGACAAAAGAATGTTACATTGTCACTGCTTAAAGTCTCTATGATGCCAGGAGGCACGAAAGTCTAGTGGTAGGACGCCGGGCGCGTGACCGAAGGGTTGATGGTTCGAGTAACGGTACGGCACTGTTTTGTATCTTTGAGCAAGGTACTTTACTCCGCTTGTTCGGTCTACTCAGCTGTAAATGAGTACTTGGTCGGGCAGTGCTACAGTGTATAATTGTTGAATGGTAGCTGTGAGCACCGGCTGTATGCTCCCCAGGGAGCAGAGAAAGATTTTGGCTGGCTGCGAAGGCCCTTTAACTACGGATACTAATTTATGATTATTATTGTTATAAGTCCTCTCCATTGGTGGTATGTATATGGACATATTGTATTGATATTATAGTTTTAAAACTATGTTGACTTCTTTACGAAAGTAACGAAAACTGATCTTCTTACAAGCTGGCCTTTTAATGGTCAACGACAACGAATCTAGCCTCTTATTTTATTTACTGCACGTATTAACAGATGTGTAAAGGATACCGCTACATAACGTGTACTTACAGTATGAAACTTATGGCTGCTTATTCCGTCTTTGCGTATTGCAGACTTATCTTCTCTTGTGAGCAGGGATTGATTGTTACGTCATTGGTTTGTGTGAGAAAATTACGTCGTTTTCTCAAAAATTGATGACGTTACTCTCACAAACAAATGACGTAACAATCACTTCCTGCTCACAAGGATATGACAAGACGGAATATGTAATCAAGAGTTTTACTTTGCCAAGGTGTGTTAGAGTTGGAGTGATATCATACTCACTAACCAATATACATAGAAGTATGTGGTTGTTAGAATTCTGTATACAAGGAAATGTTCGCCGCGGTTAAAGCTTTTCAACTTTCGTTATAAGGATGATATAATCATGACAGTGGATATAAGTACACTTAATACTATATGTCGTATTGACATGTAAAGAGCGTTAACATGGAAAGGGCTATAGTTTAACTGTTTGATATTTTCCTAGTAAACACTCAAGTACTTAAATATACTGGTACGCCGAAACAGATATCAATAAAGGAATATACGTTGAATGACAAATTTCACTGCGTGAACACAACGTCTGTTGGATTGGAAAAGGAAGTGGGCGAAGTTTACATATATCACGTACGGGTAATTGCCAGAACTTGCCGTTCATCTTTATTTCAAGAAATGATCCGATACTTAAAAGTGCAAAGAGCCAAATGGTTAAACGATAACTTGTAAATCATGTCCTTAACAATGTAAAATGTACCCTGTGGAGATCAACTTACCATTTCTTGATCTAGATGTTTGAACATCGTGTAATTTCTACAGCACTACAAACCTACAATACAAAATATATCATATACATGCAACATCGATACCAAAGACGTTTAAATCAATGGAAAGAGAAATAAATGTAATTGATATTCTACAGAAACATTGATTGTTCATTTAGAAGACGATAAAAAGAGAATATCGAAGTCGTGTAAGCAAAACCGTTAATCGAACTTAAAATCCATTTAAACTAGGGCAAATATATGAACAAAGGAACGGTTTATATTTGAATCCTTGGGAAAGTACAAAGAGAATAAGACCAGGTGTTCCAGAAGTGTACGCATCTGCTGCTCCGTCACCGACATTCGTCACCTAACATCAATATTGCTGTAACCATATTATATTTCATCTCATATTAACCTAAGTTTTATTGTAATTTCGTTCCTTCGTTCTTTAAGACATTTTGACCCCAGTGTATTCCTTAGATCATTTAACATATGCATCACTGAAATATATTGGGTGTACATTAACAAATCCATTCGATGGGATCATGTAGGAGAATTTTTACCACAACAACTCTGTGAAGTTGAGTAGTTGTGTCTCGGAGTTGCATGTGGCTGTAGTTTTAATATTTCATGGTTTTATAATGATACAACAGGTCACGTGATATTGGACTAGAGTTGTATGCCCCTTTTAAAACATCTATTTCACAACAGGTTATCGTCTAAGGTATTCACATTCAAATGGGCATCTCAACGATACCCCAGGCTAGTGATGCCCACTTGGAACTTTTCGAATTGCAGTATAAAAGCCTTCTATTTTTGTGTTCAACATACCAGTGCGCATTGTTAGATTCCTATACTGCTTTCAAACCCCCATACTGTGATAGATCATCGTCGAAGGGAATTTACCTTCAAAACGGCATCAACGGTACACCGGGTCGTTAGTCTTCTAGGGAAATGTTGATGAGATAAGAGATAAACGAACAGTTTTATCGTATGTGTGTCAATTTCAGTACAAGAAAATAGACTCTCCGATTTCAAAAGACTTGTTCTAGAAGTATTATCTGATGTTGGCACTTAAAATCTTAACAATACTGTTTTTACAAGTTAAACTGTGCTTACAACCAGGCTCTTACATAATGCCCAAATAATGGTTCTGGGTGGTTCTGAGTCCCTGCACAAGAGCTACTGTCTGAATATTTACCTGCAACATGTAACCGGATAGATGAGCAAGCGAATGCTGAAAAGTTCACTATGTTTAATGACATAGACATGCAGCTGAATGCACGAGAAGGTAACAAAATCACACAAGTGTCACAAGATGGTATTTGATCTTGTTTGGGAGCCAGGTGGCAGGTTACGTCGATGCTCGCATACTTCCTGCACGCACTTTAAGGTAAACACTTCTATTATACTATTCAAACTGGCAAGGGCTGGTAAGCAATCACTGCACACAGTACCCGCTTAAGTTTAACAAACATCGTTTATGACAAGCTCCCGTGCTTAGTGATAATAAAATTGATAATTTATCATTATGTACGGCAAAATGTATGTTAATTATTTCCATATGAATGGTAAAGGAAGATAGCTTAAACGACCATATCATCCGCTCGGTGGTGTATCATACCATACCACTTATTTCGTCAGTTCACGCCTACTTCAATATGTGTAGTAATATACGTAGTTATATTGTGACATGTACTAAGTTTTGGACATACGGCAATGTGAATGTCAGTAAAAAAAAAAAAAAAAACCCATTTATGTATAAGTCATCTCCCATATGACAAAGGTTTACAAAAAAAACCATTTTGTACAGTAATTAAAGAATCTACTGCTTCATAATGTTATTATATGACCCCTTTTCTCAAAGTTTCACATAATATTAGACGCCTTCTCACGAATGAATTTACACACAGAGATGATAGTAAAATAGGATTTACCTATATAACGATATGGAAATTACATTAATCATTTTCATCTACAAAGCATATACGAACATGGTAAATAGACATTTTATGATGTATGATATATATCGACAGATACAACAACAAAGCAGGACGATAGACACAGAGAAGAGCAGCACATAAAAGACACACCAAACAGTTGTGGCTACCCAACTGGTCAATAAATAAGGTGAAAAGAGCGGTAAAATAAAATCAAAACCCGAGACAGAAGAAAAGAAACGAGAGCCAAACCAAAGGCAAAGGCTGGGTCACTATACCCTACGTGAGGGGACATCTGAAGGGAACAACACAAAACAACACAAGATAAATCAAAGGGGGGGGGNTCGTGGTAATTATGAAATGACATTACCAGACACATACACAAAGGCTTGTAGCTAGCGAATTATCTGAACACAAAGAGACGAACCAATCTGTATACCTAAAAAGGAAATGTGTTACTTATATAATTCATTTGATTTGGCATCTTCATCGTGCTTATATAACAGATTGCAAATTTGTAACATAAAGTCACCCTACATAGGTGCTCGCCTTACAGTAGCAAAAACAAAGATTGGGTGAGTAAGGTAAAACCAAAGACGAACTTTGATTATGTATCTGTTGCCTAAATGGGGAATTTAATGCGAACAAAACAAAATTACCATTAACCTCACCAGTTATCTCTAACAGAAACAAAATGAAACTCATCTTATTACAGTCTGTATTGGAGTTGTGAAGGGCTTTAGGCTTACATGTATGACAAAACGACGAGCTCGTAAGGTATTTTTAGGAAACTATTTCTACAGCTTCGTTGAATTCTATACACATTTTGTCATGTATACCACAAACATATGATGTTCCTGCTCGGAGTTTGGGTTACAGACCAATCTGTTGTTGCATTGTTAATTCGGCGTCTTTAAAATATTAGTACATAATATAAAGCATTTGTTATACACTCGAATTAAGTGTTGAAAATAATGAAATTGGTGACGTCACAACAGAGATCGATGACGTTACAGTACCAAATGCAGTTATAGTATCACAAGAACATTTGCATTGCAATGGAAGGAACTATATAAGGTTATATCTAAGTATTTGATTACGGCCGTTTGTATAGTATAAATGATATAATCTTGTATAGTACACAAATGCTTAAATTGCTTTACATGGTAGGCATGACATTATATTACCGTAAATACACAGAAAGGACTATAACCAACCAATTCTCTGATCGCAAGAAGACGAATCTATATACTGTTTGTAAAAACAAAGATCAGCTTTCATCATTTGCTTCTCACCAATCTGATGCACTTATATACAGCGAGCTAAACAAAACGTGGTTAACCTCACCAGCTATCTCTAACAACATACACCTCACCAGCTATATATAACAACATACACCTCACCAGCTATATATACCAACATACACCTCACCAGCTATATATAACAACACACACATCACCAGCTATATCTAACAACATACACCTCACCAGCTATATCTGTTAGCGTAACCCTCACCACCTATCTCTAACAACATACACCTCACCAGCTATATATACCAACATAAACCTCACTAGCTATCTCTTACAACATAGACCTCAACAGCTATATCTAACAACATACACCTCACCACCTAATTCTAGCAGCTTAAACCTCACCAGGAATATCTAAAGATGCAAACCTCACCAGCTATTTATAACATAAACAAAATGATACTTACCTTATCACAGACCTATTGAAGTGGTAAAAAAAGTTTGGCTTGTGACATAATGACTGGTTACGGAGGTTTATAAAGAAACTACTTTCACAATTTCCCGGAATTAGATGAACATTTTGACGAAACGTTATTGACTCATGACAAATGGCACTCCTGGACGGCATTTATAGTTTTAATTTCTGACCGATCAGTTCGTCTTAAATACCATAAACATATGATGTAATTTATCGGTGTTCAGGCTACAGGTCTATATGTTGTTACATTGTTTAATTCGGCTTCTTTAAAAATATATTGTACAGAATATAAAGCCATCTTTAATACACTACAATGTATATTTATGATTATATATCAACAGATTCACGATTTTCTGTTGAAACTTCAATGGATTTTTATGACAGTATGGTTTGGTTTTTTTTTATAATTTTATTTTTTGAAACATTTTCAGCATTACAGAATAATTACAGTATTAATTTTCACACTCATTTTCATTCTTCAACCAACATTTAATACAAATTTTGTAATGTTTTTTTT